ATTTTTTTTTTTGTTGTTAAACTACACCCAAAAAAGAATCTTTCTTCCTTAATATCCAGCACTGTAAAATTCTTTTTTCATCCTGAAGAATTATTCTAGATTTTTGTTCTTGTCACTCTGAACTGAAAAAGAGAGGGCCGTGTGGGACCAGTATGTTTGTCCTGATATAGGATGACAATTCTTTTTTTTTTTTTTTTTAATGCTTTCTCAACACAGAAGCTTTCACTGTGCCTTTGAGTTGCTTAAGGTGCTCAGGAAACGGGAAGAATACAGGAAAAGTTTCCCAACCGGTTAGTCCAGTTAAGGCACTGAAGTGGCTTAAGCCTTTGATATTAGTTTAACCAAGTTAGGAAGTTAGTAAGGCAGGAGCGCTTTCAGGGATAAATCACTCCTCCCTCCCGCCCCTGCCTTTTAACTGTTCCTTCTGTCTGCAGGGGACTGTAAATGGTGTCTTTTGTCTTCATGCCTCTGGAAGGAGGGGGCACTGGGAGATGGGGTTTTACATCAGGGGACCCCATTCTCCCTGTGCTGCTAGCTGAGATCTCTTCCCAGAGTGGTTATGGGGTTCAAATAAAGCACCCCAGGGAGTGCTCGGGGCTCGACAGCTGGACTTTGGGAAGAGTGCCTGGTTTTTATGCATTGGAACATGTTGCTTCCTACCTCTGGTGTCTTCTGCTGAGCAGGGAAGGGGTGCTGGCTGGTCTCCTGGACCAGCAAGCCTGCGGTCAGAGTCTTTCATTCCCTTATTCCACAAACATTTATAGACTAATAAACAAATGTTGATGGGCCGATAACATGTGACATGCAGCAGGGATGCCTGTGAGGCTCCTGCTGTCACAGAGGGTACGTTAAAACTGTACACTCTGCAGGGGAAGGAGAGGGTGGCATTTCGTTTGTTTCTGTCACTGTAGATAGACATGAGCAAAGACACTGGGACGTCAGAGCATTTGAAAGTGGGGGAAAAACAGGGCCACGAGTGTCGTTTCTTGGAGGGGAAGGTGAAAAAGCAGTGAGCACCAGAAGCCGAGCTAGTCGATGGGAGGAGGAGATCATAGGTCAAAGAAAAAGTGTGCAAGAGTATGTGGGGGAGGAAAATTTCCCTCTACCCTACTAGGTTCTTGGCTCAGACCTCTCTGTTATAAAAGATCAACAGGAGAAAACAAAGTGTCTAATAATATGTATACTTCCTGCACACATGGAGGGCCCCAGGAAGACTTCGGGATCTCCCCCAAAGGGCCCAAGACAGTGCCCTAAATACCATCTCCAGCTAAATACAAAAGGAAGTGTTGAGGGGAGCAGTTGTGGGACCTTATCAGGCCAAGTGCCCTCAGCAAGGGTATGGTTGTTATGCAGATTTAAGTCCACACCTCCCTTGAGAAGAGTTTCCCGATTTTTGGTCATCTTCCTATTCCTGGTACACAGAGAGACACTCTTATACATAGAGATTTCCTTTATAAATGTTTACATTTATAAAGGAAGGGTAACTTCTCAAGGTTTTCAGAGCTTCTCCTATGTGGGCTGATTCTTTCCTTTTTTTAAAAGATTTTATTTTATTTGACAGAGAGAGTGAGCACAAGTAAGGGGAACAGTAGGCAGAGGGAGAGGGAGAAGTGGGCTCCCCGCTGAGCAGGGAGCCCAGTGCAATGCAGGGCTGGATCCCAGGACCCTGAGATCATGACCTGAGCCTAAGGCACCAGCTCAACGGACTGAGCCACCCAGGTGCCCCTGCATGGGCTGATTCTTAAAAATAACCAGCTCAAGATAATCCTTGTGCCAAGAGACATATTCTGGGGTGAAATTTCTGTTCCTCTTCAAGTAAGAGAACATAGTAGATTCAGGAAATGAAATGTCCTATAAGAATGGTGGGGAGGGAGGAAGGGAGTGGGGACAGATAAACTGTCCAGCTCCACACAGAGCAGGTTATACAGGGGCTTATGGGCCAGGAAAAAGGGTTTGGATTTGAGATCAATACCGGAGTGCATGTTAAGAGCTGATTACATTGGACTCTGGCCAGTGTGAGGAGACCCTATGAGAGGATGCAGGTAGTTTTGGACACTAAACAGAAAGTGTCCAAACGAGGGACGAAAACCTCATCAGCATGTCCCTGGACTGGGCGGAGAAGGGTGGGTTACTCTGAGACTCAGCCTGAAGATATGATGGAAAGGATTCCGACATTGTGGGATTTTACTCAGCTGAATTTTGATCTTGCCAATCGATTTATCTTCTTCCGGAATCTGCATGAGAACATGAACGTGAACGGTTCTCTTGACTTGCCATGTGCCTCTGTTCTTTATGCCAACACCTGGCACAGGGCTTCTAATTAGGTACTTGGTGTGAGTTCGCGGAGCCAATGAAAGCATCTGCCTGTGTCCCGATTCTAGATAATAGGTCAATGCTGAAGTCAGTCTGGCAGTCGGTCAGAAGGCAGCACCCGAATGAAGGGGGAGGGAGATCGGCACCAAACCACGGATTCTGGGGCTTCTTTTGAGAACGAGAAGCTGAACCGTATCAGAGAGCCCAAATTAGGCCTAGGCACAGAGCCCTCCACCCTGCAGGGAGTTGTGGGGGGGTAGGTGCCAGGGCCTTTGCGTTCCCATAGTAATCTGTGCTTGCCAAGATGCCCCCTTAGCATTTGGTACCACCCTTGAATTTTTAGTTGTCTGCTCCCTAACAAACCACATGTGGTTTGTGTATCTCCTGCCCAGTGCTGTGCCTGGCCCTTCCCCAGCATTCAGAGAGTGTTGATTCAGTCACTCACCCTCCCTCGCCGCCTCGAGTGCTGTAGCTGAGAGTGGGTAAAGGCTTCTTCAGTGGTTATTCTGTCTCCCCTTATAAGGTAGTCAGGGAGGGACGAGTCTCCCCATTTTGCTCGTGAAGAAGGGGGGTGCCTAGAAGACTGGCCCACGAAGCCCTTTGTGCATGGCGGTGGTCGTCAGAGCAGTTCAGAACCAAGGGTCTCATGCGTGAGTCCCAAGGACAGAGATCTGGTTTCTGGTGGGGCGGGATCCTGCCTGGGAGTGAGGAGATCCGTGTGTGCGTTCCATTTCCCCGCGGCTTTCTGACGTTTGGCAAAGTTGCCGGTGCCTATCAGGGCTTCTCCGACTTTCACAGACACACACATCACCTGGGGACCTAAATAAAACACAGACTCTGATGGCGCAGATTTGGGGTGAGACCCGCGTCTGCATCCCTAACAAGCTCCTGGATGGGCTTAAGCCACAAGGCCAGCAGACCAGACGTGCCATCCCCGGGCCCGGATGTCCAGGACCTTCTGAACCAAATGCAGGAAGACAGAGGGCAGAGGTGTAGACGGGAAGGCAGGGGTGTGTTGCAGCTGAAATAGCAGGTACCAAGATACACACTTTGTGCCGTGAACTTGGAAAGCGAAATTGCAGTTGGATGGGTTTGCCGAGTCCCTTTTACAGCTGGGACGCAGGGGTGTGAGAGCGCCTGGCTCTGGGGGATCCCGAAACAGACCAGGTCCGGCCGCTTGCCGCTGACAGAATCCGAAGGCAGAGAGATGGGTGGGGGGATTCGTTTCAGGGAAGCCAACACCGGGAGGACAGTGGACTCACGTCTCGAAGGCGGCCTCCACAGTGCCAGAAGTCCTGCCAGGTTCACTCAGGGAAATGTGGAGCGACAGTGAGCGGGTATGTGCAGTGGGCACTGAAGGTCAGGTCCGTCGTGGTGTTGGGGTCAGTCACATGGGGTCTGGCTGGCTCAGGACAGTCACTGTTGCTCGAGGAGGTGGTTTCAGTCCCCATCAGGGGATGCGTTGCCTGCTGGGTCTTTTGCCCGAGTTAAGAGATAAGCTGGCAAGAAGAACGTGATCAGGGAGAAGGTACAGAATGACGTCCAAGTGGAAGGGGTTCAAGTCCCCGTTCACTCCTCCTTCCCCATTGAGCAGCTCTGTCTCTCGAGAACGCAGCCCCAGGCCCCTACATGGAGTTGACCGTAACCGCTTGCCCCCACTGCCACCCAGGCTCGCCCTGTTATTTAGCCCTTGTGGAACCAGGGTGGAATGGCGGCGTTTCTCCTGCCCACGCTGGGGGGTCCCTCAAGGGCCAGGCTGCCACGAAACTGCCCCCTCGGCCCTATGTTTGCCGCAGTGTCCCCTGCGTCCTAGATGCAGAGGCTCCAGGATGTCACGTGGTTCATCCCTCAGTCTCAAGAATCCCTGAACATCAAGATTAGTAGTGAAGAGTCTGGAACAGTAGCTGAGGGCACTGCCTCTGAAGGTCAAGTGCTCCAGATACCCCAAAGCCTGCCTCTTTAGCATCAGGATTATTCTAAGCTGATTGTTTTTAAGAAACAGCAGACATGAGGAAAGCTCGGAAAACTGAGTAGAAGTTACCATTTTACCTTCACAAGGGAAATCTCTATTCACGGGGGTGCCTTCTTCTGTGTGCCAGGGACAGGACGGTGACCAAATCTTTAGCAACTTGTCCGTGTAGAAAGCCAGGACTTAAATCTCTGTATCAACCGTATCTTTTCTCTGTGCTTTTCCTGGTAACCTTGCATTACTGCCCTTCCCCTGCCCCCAATCACCCCTCAATATCTTCTTATACCTTTAGCTGGAGATAGTATTTGTAAGGTGGTGTCTTGGGTCCTTTTGGGGAATTACTCCATTTTCCTGGGTAAGTTCCGTGCGTATGGAAGGTATACATGTTATTAAAAGTCTGTTTTACTCCAGGCAGTGTTTTACTACAGTGGGGTCAGAGCCAAGAACCTAGAAGGGTAAAGGGAAAATTATTTTTTTCCTTCTCTACAATGCCATTGCTAGCTTTTCTACTGACTACCTTGGCCTCAGTTTTGTCCTCTGTAAAATGGGGATAAAAACATTATAACTGCTAATGGTACATCTGAAATAGATAATACACGTCAATTACTTAGCACAGTGCCTGCACATAGGAAGTAGCCGATAGACAGTTGTTGAAAATCACCACGTACAAAGGGGATGCCTGGAATCATTCATATTTTCTGTGTGTTTGGCTCTTTAGTCAGGTCTAATAAGGACACGAAAAAACGAATTCCTCATTTCACCGTTACCTCAGCTGCTGGCCCAGGAGCATAACTACAGCGCACCTGCGGGACACCATCCTCATGTACTGTACAAAAGGACGGCTGAGGAGAAGGTCCAGCGTTGCCATAGCTACCCGGGCTCCAGCGGGCATCATCCTGGTCACTCCCCAGCTCACACTCCCCTCACATCTCGGAGTCAAGAGAGAGAGCATCACCACCCAAGGTTGCAAAAGCAGCATTTTTGTGGACGACGCAAGAAATGTATGTAAGGAAACTTTTTCTTATTCTGTTCTTATGTGGGCCCTCAATAGGCTCTCTTGAGTGTAGTCAGGTGTGCTGACTTTGCAGGTTAAAATGGGGTGACCTTAAGCACCCCTTGAAATTTGTCTTGGAGATGGGCCAAGATTCACCCCTGTCAGGCAAACCTGGGTGATCAGTTCTCAATTCTTCTAGGTTAAACTAGGAAAGATTTTGATATGCTTTTGTTTGTTTTAGTCATGGGTCGCCATGTTATCTTGGTTTCTGTGCTCCTGAGAAAGGTACCCAGTCTTCCAGTGATGAAGGAAATCAGAGGTGAATCCTCAGGTGTGGTTGGATGTTTGTTCCTTTTGAGCTCTTAAAGGATAACTTCACAGGAAATGAGAACATCAACACCTATGTGGATGTAGCAGTGAGATACAAGGCCTATTGGGCATGGTTTGTGACCCAGGCACAACATTCTGCACTTTGTAGATCAGCAGCGTGTAACAGAAATACAGCATCAGCCCCACAAGTAGTCTTAAATGTTCTAATGGCCACATTTCAAAAATTAAAGATAAATTAATTTTAATAATATGTTTATTAATTAATAAATATTTACCTGATATAGTATAGAATATCATCTCCACATGCAATGTTGAGTATACCAAATTATGAATCAAGTATTTTATATTAAATTTTGGAATTCTGGTCATTGTTGGACAGAGCACAATTTCAAATGTAGACAACAAATTCTCATCAGAAATACTTAATCTGTATTTCAAGTTCATAAAATTTAAGGTTGGAAAAGTAGCTTTGCATATTCCAATAGCTCCAAACTTATTTTTCAATGACCCTACCAAATATTGCTTGCTTAATTTAAATTGAAATTAATTAAACTTAAAATTAAAACTTTGGTTTCTCCAGTGGCACCAGACACATTTCAAAGGCTCCGTAACCACGAATGGCGGGTGAGTGTGAGTTAGAGCAGCCAGATGGTGGTTCTACCTGAGGAGAATGGGAACTGCTATCCCTGAGCAATAATGAAATACCATGTTTCTACCGTTTTAATTGCTCTTTGGGGTTTGGGGTATTAACAGAAATATCATCTTTAAGGAACATCTGTTTGACATGGATTTATGATCATAGTGGTAATTATAATTGTGCTCCCCATAGTGACAATGATATGTATTTGATATCAAAGCTCATCTTTAGAGCAGTCTTGTGATTGGTATTGTGGGCATTAATGCCGTTTTCCTTGATAAACTGAGACTCAGGGTCACTTATCAAAGTGGCCGACTTGAGGTTTTTTATCTAACTCGACATAATTTGATCTTTTAATTTCACTTTCTGGAGAGTTATAATGACTTTACTCTGAGGACTGTACTAGTTGTTGAAGTATTAAAATAACTCTGTGTTAGTATTACAGTGTCCCATTCCCTCCCGGCAATCCTTGGACTTGTCCCTCTCTATTAACTGAAGGGATCGTGCCTGGCCCAACATCTGGAGACTTCCAGGTCTCTTCTCAAAGGCATGGCCAATATCCACTCTGTTAAGGTGGTGCCTGCACTTTACCTGCTAGGAAATACTTACTGTCATTTTAAATATCACCCCTGACTGTGCTCTTTTCCTCAAAACTAACTCAATATTAGTCAAAGAGTCCTTATTCAGCACTTACTTTGTGCTATATTCAAGTTTCTGTTGATGAAACAAGGATATTAGACATGGACAGTATTCTGTAGGACGTATATTTCTAAATTTCATTTGGAAATAATATATGAAGTGTTACCATGAATTCAGATGCAAAGGATAATGTCTATTTCTGCAGTGTTTAAAATAAAAATGAGCATGTTCTGTTTTTAAAGGCTATTTGGACAAAATTAATTTTTGTTGACCTGCTGTACCAACTAGATTTGTAGTGTGTGTGTGTGTGTGTGTTTTACCTGGTAGAGTATTTTTGAGTTGTTGAGTCCATCCATTCACCAACCTCTTTGACTGAATCTTTCTTGACCACAAACTAGGTGCAAAGCCCCAGGACAAGCACTGAAGTCACCATTTATCAGTACATCAGTCAAGTGTTGGTTACAGACTCTCTCCTTGCCCTGTTTAGATTTCTTTTATCTCCACTGATAATTCTTTCCAAATGCTCTTATGTTCATTGTAGATGCCCCTAAGCCTCCCACGGAGGACACCTATCTCAGGTTTGATGAATATGGGAGTGCAGGGAGACCCAGAAGATCAGCTGGAAAATCACAAAAGGGCCTAAATGTGGAAACCCTTGTGGTAGCAGACAAGAAAATGGTGGAAAAGCATGGCAAGGCAAACGTGACCACGTACATTCTCACGGTCATGAACATGGTAAGGGAGTTTGTTAGACTCCAGTGCTCTAGTTCTCCAGAACAACCAAAATCACAGAATATCCTTGTGTGGATTGAGTAGCAGATGGAGCCACATGATTTTATTGGAAAAAGTTGAGTTTTGAGGAAATTGTTTCATACGTACATATACGTACATTCAATTTTGTAGAATTGAAGCGTGCATACTTAAAAATCTGATTGATACAGAGAGTTTTGGAAATTTCTAGATTTTCTTTATTTTTGTTTGATTTCAATTGCTCCAACAGGTTTCTAGCCTATTTAAAGATGGGACCATTGGAAGTGACATAAACATTGTGGTGGTGAGCCTCATTCTTCTGGAACAAGAACCTGTACGTGCCAAACTTCACTTACTTCTTAATTCTTTCTGCCATTTGGGATCTACTTATTGAATACTTACTGTGTACCTATCCATGAACTAGTCATTAGAAATTCCAGCTTGAAAATAGGCTGACCCTATCCTCAAAGAAAGTAAACTTAATAGGGTTATGTATTCAAATAACTAAAACATCACAAAATAATTATATATATAGATATATGAAATTATATATATATATATAATGTGTATATACAATGGCATAAATATTAAATGTGCATATATAATATAAATACTACATTATATATAAAAATACAAATATTATTTAGGTTTCACAGGGAGGGTGCATTTGATAATAGATTTAAGGGTTGGTTGCATTTTGCACATCGGATATGTTGGGTAATTTCAGGTAGATGCGAAAAGATATTTTGAAAACCTACTGAAAAGAAGTCATCAGAAAATTCTTGTAGTTAACCTGCTGTCCCCCCAGCACCATCTTAGGTACTACAGGGACTAAGTAAAGACTATTTAACTGCCCTTGAATTGATTACCTTGAGGTGCAGGACACAGGCATGGAGTAAATCATTTAACCAGAACATATAATAAAGTGTTAATTGCATGGCACTCACTGCTTTGTAGTGTTTTGGTACCGAAACTGTATTTTTCTGAGGTGGAGATTACCAAGTTTTCTAAGTCCCGCTGTGGCTTCTCCTCTTCATCTGTTACCCCAGTAATTATTGTACAAAGCGAGGAGTCCGAGACAGAAATTAATCTCATTGTCCAGGTGTGTAGATCTACAGAGGTTAACCTGTCAAACTGTTTCTGGAATTTAGGAAGGTAGAAAGGAGGGTGTGTCATTGGGAGGCAATTTTGTGTTTAACCTACCACTTATACTTTGCCCAGGGACACTGAAGCCCGAGGCATCCTAATTTACGGATAATTAAAGACCTAGTCTAAAACCCTCAACTTTACCCAAGTCAATAGTTTTAAGCAAAGATTTGGTAAATAATTATCTCAAAGCGAGGTCCTATCTTACCCCTCAGAGTCTTATAATTATTTGTTTCTACATCCATTCACTGAGCTTTCATTTTATTGATTGATGGATGGATTGATTTTAGTCTGTGATGTGCCAAGGCCTTTGCTGGAAATTCTTACACAGGGGTAGGTAAGTTGTGGTCAGTACCTTCCTCACACTGTATTGAAGAAGACATTGAACTTTCTCACCACTAACTTACAATCAGGTTCTAAAAGCTGTAACAGTTTTATAAGGGTGATACCAGCATGAGATGAACACAGATATTCCTAACTGATATCAGGTTACTACTTTTTTTTATAGAAAAAAAACTAGTTATAAAGTATACTACTAAAACCCTGTAGTTACTTTAAGTATTGTGAGCATTTACCTGAAATAGTTTTAGGGTGTTATTTTTTCTTTTTTAATTAGTCCTCTCCAACCTTAGCTCAAGTGTTTTTCTCTACTGATCTTTCTCCCTAGAAACATGATGTTTTCTGTATTTGCCTGTACAAATGGAATGATTCACGGTTCTCACCTCTGACAAATTCACACTCTGATTTGTGTGGGTTTCCCATAGGGAGGATTACTGATCAACCATCATGCAGACCAGTCTCTGAACAGTTTTTGTCAGTGGCAGTCCGCCCTCACTGGAAAGAATGGCAAGAGGCATGACCATGCCATCCTGCTCACGGGATTTGACATTTGTTCCTGGAAGAATGAACCATGTGACACTCTAGGTAAGGCATGAGTGGATGCTTCACTCACACCTGTGGAAGCATGGTGTGGAAACTGTCCACCAGGTGGGTGGCCCTAAGAATTCTTCATAAGAAGACCTAATATTTAAATGGTGGAGTAGTATCTTCACTGTACCCTGAATATTGTTCTATTTAACTGAAGTCAGGGTGGAATGGTGAGCTCATTTCCTTTATTCATTTTGTATTTTTCTTTATTAACTCTATTGATGATCATTGAGGTAAATTGTTTAACTAGACAAGTTGTGGTTTATTCCATCAGCACAACTGGGCAGCTGAAGAGAATTTGACTGAAGAATTCAGAATATCTCCATGCTGCGTAACTGTGCCCTTGGGTAGCATAGCGGTGCATCCTTTAGAAAGTTACTTGACCTTTAAAGGACTCTGCTATTCTGTATTTGCACAAGATAGTGAGTAAGGACTGTGTCTTCTATGTCTAAACTGTTTTTTCTGGTATATTCCATTGCATACAATAGGAACCCAACAATTTTTTTTGATGAGTTAATGATCATCTAGATCAGTGTTGATGAGATGGTGGTGGTGGTGGCAATGGTGCCATTGGTCATATGTGCTTATAAATTATGTTTCTCAGACCATCTCATGGACCTTATAGCAGCAAGGTGGGCACGGTCCATCCACAAGTGTGTGTATTTCACACACACTGGACACATACTCTCATTTCACATATGAAGACTGAAAACTGGGAAGAAAGATGTTTAACACACAATGTGGTTCAAGATAGAATCAAACACTGGCTAGAATGATTTTACAGCTGCTCTTAGAAGGAAGTAGTTTATGAAAACAGAAGCAATCGTCACGGTCTAGTAAATAGGAGAAAAATGCATTTACTCTGTTCACATTGTTCAGGCCTTTTCATGTTGTCTGCTTCAGAAAAAGACCAGGATGTATGTCCTCTTAGAAAATATACCTTGAGCTTTAATGCCAATAGCATTGTTTAGTGTACATTTTGCATTGGTTTAACTCCGATAAGGCATATATAACTGTCATGCAGCTTCCTATTCTGTATGGAAAATGGAAAATACAACACTTGTAGTGATTTCACAGGGTTGTGAGGAGGATCTGTTGATGACGATATGTTTTGTTTTGTTTTTTAAATTTATTTATTTGACAGACAGAGATCACAAGTAGGCAGAGAGGCAGGGAGAGAGGAGGAAGCAGGCTCTCCACCAAGCAGAGAGCCTGATGTGGGACTCAATCCCAGGAACCTGGGATCATGACCTGAGCCGAAGGCAGAGGCTTCAACCCACTGAGCCACCCAGGCACCCTGATGACAATATGTTTTACAATGCAAGAAAATGTTAATTTTCTGCATTTATCTGGACGAGACAGATAACCAGATAACCCTATACCTTTAGTGCTTTTCTGAAAAAAAAAAAAAATTAAGTACCTAAATCAATTGAACTGAAATTAATCATGTTAATCAATGAAACTAAAACTGTGCAGAACATTTTGAAGCCATAAGAAATGAACAGGTATCTGTACATGTGCCCTTTGGACTAACACTTGAAAATGCTCTCTCCATAGGGTTTGCCCCCATCAGTGGAATGTGCAGTAAGTACCGAAGCTGCACCATCAATGAGGACACGGGGCTTGGCCTGGCCTTCACCATCGCTCATGAGTCAGGGCACAAGTGAGTGAGCCCTCGATTCACCACTTGAACGAAAACCGGCTGGGTGATTCACTGTGATAGTGATATCACTATCCCCTAGTGATAATTGTTGGCCTAGTCAGAATAGATAGGCTGAATCTTGGGTCAAGCTTGGAATCCTGCCTGACTCTAAGGAGAGCTCCCTCAGTAAAGGCCGGCCATCATGGATGTTGCTTTTTTTGAACAACAGTGTTTTCCTGCTACACAGAATTACATGGTGGGCACAGATGGACTGCAAGTCACCTAATGGACCCCCTCGTCTTTTAGGAATGTCTTCCAGGCTCTGCTACAGTGAAGATCCTTTTGGTACATTACATCGAGGCAGACATGTAAATTCACAAAACATAATGGCATGTTAATTGTTCAAAGGCTTTCAGTGCACACACTGGATATTCTTGGAGTTGGTGTCATGGCGTGTTCTTAGTAGTCTCTTCCCCAGCGTTAGTAAATTTTTCTCTTGTGAGAATAGAGTTCGAAATGAGGGATGAGAAACCTGAGAGCAGTGAGCTAAATGGATAAGGCATGACATATGGTGCTGACACAGTTCTGTAGAGGCTTTTCAAATACTCCTTGAATGGTAGCAACCACATTGGAATGAGCCCACTGCTTTACAAAATGGCTGCTTCGAAAGGCAAGCTGTTTGGATAGATGAGTTGAATATTGGTGTGTGTGTCTTGCGTTCAACACTTATCTCAAATGCTCATATTCAGAGCATCTAATTGATTTCTGGCTTAAAAGCAAAATCATCTCCTCTACAACTATAATTTATATTTGAATATTTTGGTGCTCATGTCTCTCATGAGCATATTATCTTCTGGAAATTTGAATCCGGTTAATGTACACAGCCACTTTCTTAGCAAGGTATGAATGAACCAATTTTATTGTGAACACTGGTACAAAAATGCCTGTCATGCACAAGGCCCCTTTGTACAGAGCAGGAAAGAAGTATGAATGTCAAACATGTCTGCTTAAATTTGTTTCTGTACTTATCACCTGCTGACCCTGAACTTCAGTATCACAGTTTCACAGATGGTGGGAAGAAAAAAAAATGTGGTACTTGAAATGAAAGAATTTGACTATCCCATCATTTTAAAGTAGCTTAGATATCTTGACCAAAAGTTTCTCGTCCTTAAAATATATAGCAGATGTACCATTCTCTGATTTTGTGGGCAAGACATAATGGAATAAAACCCATAGCATTCTTTACAATTTTCTACATGAATTTTATAATACGACAGTTGCCTTTTTTTTCCTTAAAAAAGGTGGTTTTTTGTTTTTTTTTTATTTGTTTTAGAGAGAGAGAAGCATGCAAACAATGGGAAGGGACAGAGGAGAGGGAGAGCGAGAATCTAAGATTCCACACTGAGGGCAGAACCCCACACAGGGCTCAATCTCACGACCCTGAGATCATGACCTGAGCTGAAACTGAGAGTCGGACCCTTAACCTACTGAGCCACCCAGGCCCCCCTACAGTTGACTCTTAAACAACATTGTTTTGAACTCTGTGCAGGTCCACTTACATGTAAATTATTTTCAATAAATGCCATATAGTATTTTAAGTGTATTTTCCTTATAATTTTCTTAATAACATTTTTTTCCCTAGCTTACTTGATTGTAAGAATATAGTATATAATGCATGTAACATACAATGTACGTAGTAATTAAGTTATTAATAAGGCTTCCAGTCAGCAGTAGGTTATTAGTAGGTAAGCTTTGGGGGAGGTAAAAATTAGACTTGAATTTTCAACTGCAGGTAGGGAGGGTCAGTGCCCTTATCCCCTTTGGTGTTCAAAGGTCAATTGTATATAGTAACTAATTTTTGTCTTTCTTTTTCCTTACAACTTTGATAACTCTGTCTCTCACTTGGGTTCGGTGATCGTCAATGCATCTTCTTTCCTTTGATTATAATCTGGAAAATGGCTCACAGAAAGATGTTTTCTTCTTTCTACTGCAGTTTTGGCATGATTCATGATGGGGAAGGCAATCCCTGCAGAAAGGCTGAAGGCAATATCATGTCTCCCACACTGACAGGAAACAATGGGGTGTTTTCCTGGTCTTCGTGCAGCCGGCAGTATCTCAAGAAATTCCTTAGGTAAGACAAAATAAAGCAGGGGTATTCCCAGGGTGGTGACAATAAACAGTGCTCAACATAAGCTTAAAATACTCGGTGGTTTGATGATGATGGCAGGGTTAGTGACAGTGAAGATGATGACGATGATGGGGCTGGTGCTGGTGATAATGGTGGTGGTGGTGGTGGTGGAGATGGTGATGGTGGTGATGAAGGTGATGGTGGTGATGGTGATGATGCTCATGATATTGTCATCACTATTGCTATTGAAAAAATACATTGAAGGTCTAATACCATGCTAAATGCTCTGCACATGTTGCCTCATTCAATCTTCATGGCATTCCTATTATGATTCTTTGTCTCTGCTTGAGGAAACTGAGTCATAGGGAAGTTAACTGTGTTGCTTAACGTCCTACAGCCAGTAAGATATAGACATGAGCTTCACAGTTAGGTCTGCTATGACTCCAAGATCTACGCTTATAACTATCTCCCGTTTATGACCTCCAGAGGCTGCTATATAAACATTTAACTGTAACTCACTATTTTAATCTGATCATCCAGTTTGGTTATAAGAGTATTAAAAATGCTAAAATGGTGTGCATATTTATAATGAATGGAATATTGTCTTGCTTAGCTAATTTTGTTTAAAATGGCCATGAGCTAGACATCCAAGGGAGAAGATAGATACATGAAATCCATTTGATAACTCAAAACTCCTACATGGCATTTGTAAAATGGGAACTAGAAAGGTAGCACTGTGTGATTCATATTAAATGATGAACCCAAAGTTGGAACTCTTTGAAGTTTCCTCTAATTTTATTTAACAACAATATATATTTGACCATTGTAATTATAATAGCACTCCTAGTTTTTATTATCTATCTTATCATGCTATGTTGACTGACAAAAACGAGAAGTTCTAATCACATTTCCCTTTGACCAAATGTTAGGGAAACAAACAAAATATTTTTGGGAATTGATAATTTTGATACTTTTTTTTAACTGTATTGCATACTATTTGTGAATGTTCCTAGAATTAGTAATACAGGCAAAGCTGATTAAATGTAAAGATGTCTGACCAAACAGTATCCAAAGAATAGTAAAAAATTGACAAACTTTTTGCTAATTATAAGTTTTATCAAATAGAAGATTGTCTTCATTAGTTTTAAATTTATGATTTGAGCTTTAAAAGTATCTTTTCTATCTCATGAGAGAATAGAATCAACAGATATTATAAATAGAGGTCAACTTAGTACAGATTGAGTTCCCGTCATTAATATGATACAATTAAATGTTTGGGGATGATGGTACCAGTTGACTTTGAATGCTTACCATGCTGGGTTGGCATGTTGCATTTTCTTGCCGGATCTGTTAAACTCTTGAAATCACTGTCCGTAATGAGGTATATTAGAGTTGATCTTGGTCTCATGGTTGACTCGGATTCCCATCTGTCTGCCTCCACAATCATACTTCACCACCATGCTATTTTAACTCTCATAGTTTAACTGTTTAAGTTAAACGGAGGGAAGGTGCTTTTTAACAATATCCACCATCCAGACTGACTTTTGTTTTTTCTTAATACATCCCAGTTGAGTACACTTCGGGGAATTATTGGGGCTTATCGCCCCAGTGCATCCTTTCTCCTGATGCTTTCAAAAACCTCACTCATCTTTTGCTTGTCAAGATTATTTGAGGTAAATTACATTTTTGACCATCGCCCCATTACTTATAAAAGATGCAGCCTGACCTTCAATTCCGTGAAGACAGGCACCAGCTCTGCCCAGTTTATTTTGTACCCTTAGTGCTTGGCGTGGTACTCAGCACCTGGTAGGCACCCCAGTAAAAATCTGTTGAATATTGTTGAATGCAATTATTGGGAGAGTTTTCAAATACATTGACCTTTCCCATCCAGTTGGCCAAACCAAACCACTTGGGTAGCCGTAACTTCCAGTGCCAGATGAAACGTTCCATAGCTGTGTAAATTCCATCTTCTCAGACAGGAAGGGACTCACTCTCTGCAAAAAAAATAAAAAACAAAAATCCATTTTAACTTTCAGTATTATCGATATCTTTTGCTATGCTGTATTTTCCTTTGCCTGAGTGAATTCAGAGACGTCGTTTTACGTGGAAGGATCAAAGATAAACACAGGAATTAACACGGCTGTGTTTTCACGGCAGCACACCTCAGGCTGGGTGTCTGGTGGATGAGCCCAAGCAAACAGGACAGTATAAATATCCGGACAAACTACCAGGACAGATTTATGACGCCGACACACAGTGCAAGTGGCAGTTTGGAGCAAAAGCCAAGTTATGCAGCCTCGGGTTTGTGAAGGTATGTTTGCGTGTGATTGCAACCTTACATTAAGATTCTGCAACGTGTCTGTGTCCCTAACAGAAATGTAAACATTTGGTTTGCGAAGGCCGAGGGTTAGAGTCTGGGTTATCTCTAAGATGTCAGTTGTTTGGCATGAAAATAAGTGGCGGTTTTACTGTCAATGAATTATCCAGGCTTATCCCCCGTAGACCGTGCCTGGTTTCAATACCATTCGACTGCATCCCTGGGAGAAAATCCCTCCTGGCGAGTTGAGGATTTCATCACAAGCAGTCAATCTGGGTACAGTCACGTTTACCTTCTCCTCATCCTTCTGTCTATTATCACTGTATCCATATTCCGCTGCGATGTGATATGTTGAAAAAGCGTCACCCCCTCGAATATATCCCTGTACCTTTCTGGAATATGAAAACTACTGTTGACAGGCAACTTTTTGTGTGTCCAGTCTTCCCTTCAATATTGTGAGAAACATGGATGGGAAAAGGAAAGGTCCAGGATGTAGAAGTGGGAGAAGTGTCAGACCAGTTGGTCCAAAACTCCGTCACAGAGCGTGTCAACATCGGTACAAAATGGAATCGGTTTTAAGTGTTTCTTCCCTAGTATCCAGAGAGAAATGTGGCATTCCTCGGTATCTGGAAACTGGGAAATGACGAAGTTTTATAGCTCCTTTTCCCTGCTCTCTTCCTCTTCTTCCCCCTTTCCATCTCTCGCTTTATCCGTTTGTCCTCCTGCAGCCGCCAGCAGCCCCACCGTGGGTAACCTGCCTCTCCCGCCGCCCCCAGCACTTGCCACGTGAGCGTCCGTTCCACATAAGGCATCGTCTCAGAGACATATTTTACTTCTTCTCAGTCTTCATGAAGACCTTTTGAAAGGGGCATGATCATGTCCTACACAGAACTCAGAGAATGTATATTCCATTTGCCCAAATCCTCAAAACTTTTAAACCTGTCCGTCACACTGATGTTAAGCTTCCTTCTCTCCAAGTAATAGGTGTTTCCCAAGCTTCACTCACTAACATCGACAGTCACTGATAATTACCTTCATTCTGTGTGCTAGTCTCTGTATTGTTGTGTTGTTTTTTTTTTTTAAGATTATTTATTTGAGAGAGAGAGTGCTCAGGAACAGGGAAGCAGAGGGAGAGGGAGAAGCAGGCTCCCCACTGAGAAGGGAGCCTGATGCAGACGCGTGACTTGATCCCAAGGCCCCGGGATCATGACCTGAGCTGAAGGCAGATGCTTAAGCCACTGAGCCACTCAGGCGCTTTTCTGATGAATCAGTTTGCTTAAAAATATGTAAGTCCAGTCCTAAGAAATAACCACCAAATCCCAGGTTTTGATATGGGATCACGTCTTTCTCTAATGCTCCTTAAACGTCTCACCGTTAGAAAAGTTGACCCATGCACCATCCACAGGTTTCTTGGCGTATCCTCCATGGAACACAGAACTGATTTTGGCAAATGCTGGCGTATCGTGTATACGCTAGCACGTTGACAACTGTTTCTGATTGCCTGTTACGTTGATGTGTCTGGCAGAGGTCAGTTGACATTCGCTTGACCGACAAAGCTTGTCGAACTCTGTCTCCTGTTTGCTTCATTCCTGAAGGTTTCACAAGCTCGTGCATTCATTAATTAAACATTTACTAAGGGCTTACTATGCGGCAGATGCACAATGGGTAACAAGTTTGATTTTCCTTGGAAATATCAAGGAAGTTTTAAAAAATGACCGTGATTCCTGCAGGATTAGACATTCGACGCACATGTGTGGGGTGCCTGTTCCGTGTCCGACAGTGTGCAGTGTCCCACAGCCTCTCTGCCGCGACTGATCTTTTCCTGGAACCATACCCTATTTTTGGGAGCAAGTGCCTCAGTCTGATGGTCTTTCTTGGGGAGCAGGGCAAGGGGAAGTGGCTGCTGCACACTAGAGAGCATGAGGAAGGCTCAGGGATGGGAATGCCTGGTGGGGTGGGGACATTTCCTTAAGGGAGAGGTTTGAGACAACCATGAGGCAAGACAGGGAAGGCGGTAGATCCCGAGGGTGGAATTTCCCCCCCACAGCCTACAGGAGCGGAAAATACCTGCTTGTAACCAACCATGGTGATACCTCTGAGAATCACAGATAGTTCCTCCCTGGCCCTATGTGGAAGGGGTTTTCCAAACATGCAAACCTCTTGTTCATCCTGCTGGTCTGGACAGTGTAGACCCATTTCCAGCAGCCCAGGAAAAGGGTGGTGGTGGTTTTCTGAGTCTTCACTGTCCTCTCATTGCTTTCCCTTACAAACCTGATCTCCTCACTGCCTTTTTTTTTTCCCCCTAAACTTTATGCCTCCTGGAAAGGCAGTTTTGCATAATAGTTAGAAGTGCGTGCGCGTGTGCACACACACACACACACACACACACACACACACACACAAAGAGAGGGGAAGAAAGAAAGAAAAAAGAAAAGGAAAGAATGCTCAGGTGTCTTTGGATCCAGGGATGCAATTGTCAGTTTCCGCTGGAACTTGTTAGAAATGCAAATGCTCAGGTCTCATCCCAGCCCTAAAGAATAAGAAGGTTTGGGGGCGCCTGGGTGGCTCAGTGGGTTAAGCCGCTGCCTTCGGCTCAGGTCATGATCTCAGGGACCTGGGATCGAGTCCCGCATCGGGCTCTCTGTTCAGCGGGGAGCCTGCTTCCCTCTCTCTCTGCCTGCCTCTCTGCCTACTTGTGATCTCTCTCTGTCAAATAAATGAGTAAAATCTTTCTAAAAAAAAAAAGAATAAGAAGGTTTGGGGATAGGATGGTCAATGCTTGAACAGGGGCTCAGGTGATTCCGATGCTGACTCAGGGATGAGAACTGCTGAATTAGACAGTCTTTAGTTTTTTACACACACACACACACACCCACCCACCCACCCAACTTCTGGAGTTAGGTAGGCCTGGGTTTAAAACCTGATTCCGCCACACCCTAGAACCCTGAGTGAGCAGCTGAACCTCCCTCGGTTTTTGTGTCCCCATATGTACCATGAGGCTAAGGAAAGTTCTTCCCTGCTAATTGTGAGGGTGCAGCTCTAGGGGCTGCGGGACCCCTCAGCGGATACCCAGGCTTTTCCTCCTCCTATCCCAGCAGCGTCGTCATCCCAGGCTCCTTTCTCCCCGTGGCTTCCTTGTCCAAGGTCTGGAGCTGGCTCTCTTCTATCCCTGTCTCTTCTTCCCTCCTCTCCCAGCCCCGGGTTTTCTGTCTTTGGTATATCAAGCCTGATCTCTCTTCCCTTGCAAAATATTCGGGGAAAATGAGTTGGCAACTGATGGGTCCCCGTTATTTGGACAGATGGAAAGGGGGGTCCCCTCCACAGCTTCTGGAGACTGTGCCTTTGGTTATTGCACATGTAGCAAAAGCTCCACAACATGTTCATTTTTAGAGGCACTGAGAGGGATTGAATCCGAATAGCAATTACAGGGAATTTGAATTCTAGTGTAAATGTTTGTGATCATCACCTCACAGAATGCTTCCTTTAAAAGAAGAGGCATGTTAGAAACAGTAGGATGGAGATATATTTCTTCTTTCAAGAATCTGACATTGCAGTGCATGAAGGACGTCAAAGGAAACAAAGTTCTAGAAAATAAGTCACGGACATGCTATGTACAGCATGGTGACTGTAGTTAATACTACGTTGCGTGTTTGAAAGTTGCTGAGCAAGTAGATCTTAATAGTCCTCATCACAAGAAAAAAAAATTGTAACAGTGTATGGGAACAGATGTTCTCGGATTTATTGTGGCGATCTCTTATAATAAATATAAATATTGGATCATTATATTGCGTACCTGAAACTAACAGAGTCAGTTACACCTCACATTTAAATATTATTTTAAAAAAGAACTTGACATTGGGATAAAAGAATGGAGAATAAGGAGAAACTTCCTAGAATCTAAATCTAAAAGTAATCAGTGAATTGTACCTACTTTGCCATCTACTAAACTTGCTACATCAGGTTTCAACTCTTACTAACTCCCCCCATGGACTCATGTTCCCGTGTTGATATCCTTGTATTTTCCCAAACCCTACCTTCGTACACGTCTATAAGCCTTTTAAATTGTGCTTCCCACCCTAGAATGCACGGTCGCCCATATGACAAATACCTAATCACCTTTTACCGTTGTCAAAGATTCAGCGCAAGTCGTACCTCCTATTTTCCCCAAGGAGATTTAAATGTTCCTCTCCCCCAGCCTCCATCTGCACACTCTACGGACCATCATGAACTCATGGCACCATATTATAACTGACGAGGTGTGCCTCTCGCCTCAGTGGATGGCAAGCCCGTAGTGTCTGCCCGCCATGTTGGCGGATACCCCAGAATCGTTTACTGAATTTACATGGTACTAAAGCTAACATTTCTCTAGCATTCCCATTTTCATAAACTGGAAGATTTTGCCTCTGTCCCCTTCTCATCCCTCCTAAAGGAAGGGAGAGAGAGAGAGAGGAGTCAAGAATGTCTCTACGATTTTTGGCTTGGGCAGCCAGAAGCATGGAGGTGTCATAACATGAGCTGGAAGATGTTGAACAGGTTTGGGGGGGCAGATGGGGAACTTTGTTTTGGATGTGTTTGGTGCTTCATAAAATTCGATATGCAGAGACCACTAGCATTTTTAGCTCATCGGTTTTGCTTGATGGGGCATCCTTCAGAATCTTTGAACTACAACAGGACAACACGGGTCAACCAGTGACTGGACAGAGGAATGCGTAATGTCGAGACTCTCCTTAAAGATCACATCCAGGCGACATGAGACCTTGGAGTCTCTGTGGTTATTTCTTTTCCCCTTAAATTATGACTTCAATCTAGGGAATTATAGATAAGGAAAAGCTAGTCGAATATGCTGGGGGGGAAGAAAGGAGGGAAGAGCAAGCAAAAAAGTGCAAACTCCCATTTCTGTTTACTTTGAAAGGGAGCTTTCTCAGAGGACTCTCATGGTCGTCAAGGCATGTAGTTGGCTATAATTACGTTTGACTTATGTACTTCACCACAAAAGAAATAACATGTTCATACTGCCTGTCTGATTTCACTCTGGAATCCTGTGTTTTTTGCCTCATTTTCCTGGTCTTCTCCAGCTGCCCCTTCTCCTTAGCCCTGTGGCTTGGCATTGGCCATGGAATCCGGGTCTCCTTTGCTTGGGTCTGCCCCAGGGTCATTTCGGTGGCTGCCACATAGGCGAGGGGTGTGGGTTATGGCTGCCCGCTGGCTGTCAAGAGGAAACGGTTTAATTCTGCAAGCTTTCCTAACTGTGGCTGGGTTTCAATGGTTACCTCTCCTTTCTCCATCTTGATGTAGGACTGTCTTTTTCCACATTAAGTTGTCCCCCTCGGCCCCAGGGTGATCCATGGAGGGAGAGCAGACAGAGATGATGAAGCTGATTCACTTGTTGGAAGGCTGCCTCCTGCTTTCTACTGATGTTAGCGGCAGGGCCATGTCTATGGGAAACACTGACATACCGTGTCTTAGGAGCTGTTTTGAGATTTGAAAGTGGTATTATGGAATGTGGGGCACATGGCTGGGGCCATGGATGGGTGGTGGTCCCCAGCAGCATCTTGAATGTCCTTCCATTCTCCTTTGGAGGGGAAGGACTTTCTGGTCCACACGATCAGGCTCATTGCCCTTATCTCTGATTTCCTTGTGTTTCCTCTTCTTGGTTGTGTGGAAAACTTTTTTTGTGAAATCACTCTGGAGCTTGCTCTTGCCATGTTGTCTCACCATGAAATCTGCATTAACCGGAAGGCTTGGGGAATTGGGTGCCCAGTTAATGGAATTTTCAGGGCCCCACCAAGTGACCACAAAAGTCATTTTGTTTCCTCCCTGGTTGTTAATATTTTCCCCCAAATCGTACACGTTCACACGTCTATCCCAGCAAATAGAACGTGGCAAACAAAGTGGAATGATTTTGACATTTCATGATTTTGACATTCTCTTAATGACATAATTCTGAGTAGCAACTTTAGCTATTTGGGCTGGAAGGAATCTGGTTCAGTCCCCTCGTTTATAGATGGGTGACTGAGGCCCAGGAGGTTGAGAGCTTTCCAGCTTCCACTAATGACAAATCCAGGTCCAGAGAGCTGGGGTCAAGGACTCTGGCTGGAATCAGGCCAGTGCAAGTCCTGCCTTTGCCACTTACCAGCTGTGTGACTTGGCAGCTTTGGAAGTGTCAACGGTTTGCTCAGTCCCGTCATCTAAATTAGTTTCTCTGGGAAATTAGTTTAGTGTCCGCCACTAAATGCTGTTAGTAACACTATTAGTTTCCCATAGCTGCTCTAATAACTTTCTGTGAACTTGGTGACTTAACATAAATTTATTTTCTTACAGTTCAGGAGGTAGACATCTGGGATGAGTCTCATGGGCTGAGATCAAGTGTTGGCGGATTGTGTCCCTTCTAGAGGCTCCAGAAGAGAAGCCATTCTCTTGCCTTCTCCAACTTCTAGAAGCCTCCTGTGTTCCTTGGCTCATGGCCCCTTCTCCCCATCTTCAAAGCAGCAACATCCCCCTTAGTCCTCCTCACACTGTCCTCTCTCTGGTTCTCTTCCATCTTCCTCTGCCCTATTTAAGGTCTCTCATGATCATCTTGGGCCCATCTGGAAAATTAAGATAGTTTCCCCATCTCAAGGTCAACTGATTAGCAACCTTAATTACGTATGTGATTTTAATCCCCCTTTGCTATGTAATTGCACGAAGTCACAGAAGTCACAGGTGCCAGTGATTTAGATGTAGTCTTTTGAGGGGGTGGGGGGAGCAGTATTCTGCCTACCACAGTCTAGCATGAGAGTTCAATTCTTTCATGGTTTAGTGTGAGAATTGTCAAAATGCTTGAAAATTACTATAAAGAGGAGGAAGGTGATGATGGTGATCATTTATACCATTTATCCTTGGGAACCAATCTAGAGAGTCAAGAGCTACTTTTATCACTATTTGCATAGGGGAGAAAACCACAGATCAGAGACTTCTAGAACTTGACCATACAGCATGGAACCTGGAATTCTGGGGCAAGGATTTGAATCAGATGGGCTCGATTCCAGTCTTGGCCTCTTCTGCTTCCCCGGTGGTGGTATGGGTGGTGGTTCTTACAAACCAGGTCTCTTAGTTTCAAGCCAAATGGTCCCTCCATAAATTATTATTACTCCCCCATCATTACCAAACACACATGCAGGTAGCATAGAAACTTCCTGATGTTACATTTGCTACTGCACGTAACTGGTTACCTTGCCACTACCGACTTCACTTGCCTCTACTTCCTGGATCATGTCTCATTCTAGCCCCCTCAGAACACAATATTGTGAACAAAAGCTTTGGGTATTTTCATTTTTATTGTATCAAACCCTGACGACCTGCTTCTTTCCTTTCAGGACATTTGCAAGTCACTTTGGTGCCATCGAGTGGGCCACAGGTGTGAGACCAAGTTTATGCCTGCGGCGGAAGGGACCGTGTGTGGCTTGAGTATGGTAAACTGCATACTTGTTAGTTTTTAGTTCTGGAAACATGATAACACATAGAAATAAGTCACTGTATAAACTGTTTGCAGTGGGACCTCAGAATGGAATGCCTTGGCTGCATATATTTTCTGACTTGTCTTTAAGTCAACCAACCTTATTTAACAGCTCTTATCAAAACTCAGTGCTAATATCACCCAGTAGTCTCAGTTATTTAGGATGAGGTGTTTTTTTTTTCTGCCTTTGATTTCCATTTTTAGATGAAATATTTCAACAAGGTGGAAGGTTTCATTGTTTACTGTTTGCCTTTTCAACTTGATTCAGTATAGAAAAGCCTCAGGGAGGAGATATTCCCTTTAGTGGCAAAGGAGAGACTGTCCCCCCATACAAGGCCTCTATCGCTTACCTCACAGGACTCATCACTGAGTTTCTGACATGCTCAGTGGAGTCCCGTCACTTAGAGGAACTCCTAGCCAAGGGTCAGCTGGGTCACTGTCTAGGTTGTACCAGAAAGCCATTAGCCAGCAAGTATGGTCAACCCTCAGAACCATCGCCGATATGGGAGATTTCTGTGTTTTGGACAAAGAGCATTCATATATTCGTTTCTGGGTTTTTTTCTCCTTAGTAGCCTCTGGAGGGAGAGGTGCATTTGATATCACAGTAAATGACCCAGATTTGGTGCATTCCTTTGAAAGATCATGATCGAGAGCTAGAAAAGGGAGCATGGAGATGCTCCAGGTTCTTTGATCTCTGCTTGAGCCACAAGAAGTAGAGAAGACTCGGTCATTTATAGTGAATTCAATCACACAATAACTTACCGACTTTTAGGCATCAGAGACAGGAGACTCTGGAGATACAAAGATGAATAAAATTCCATTTTATCTCTTCAAGAACTCCCAGTCCGGTGGGGAAACCTGTGCAGAAGCTGATAACCTTGACTTTCTCTTTAAACGGACCTCCTTTAAGCCCCAGGTTGCTGTCAGTGCTCAGGGTTAGTGCGCATTTAAAATGAAGTACCGTGAGCAGGTACACTGAGATGGGTGTTGGAATGCAAATCAGAACTCCTCAGTTGGATGGGAGAGAGACTTTCTGTGAGAAATTAACGATAACGGCAAAAATAGAGGCACACAAAAATCAACGTGTTCAGAAAATGCTTACTAATATTTGTTGAGTCCTTTATTCCGAGTCTCTTAAGAGATTTGCATTTTTTAACTCTCTGATTTTAAAGAAAATAAACTTCATAAAAAATTGAGGTATTATGTGCAGCTTTCCATCAGAAGTACCTGTCTTAGAAAATTCCAGTAAGGATGATCATGGAAAATGTGCACGGAATGTTTTAGGTGTGATGAGGCAAAATAGTGAAATAATTAATTAGACATACAGGCACTGCTCAAGGCATTTTAATTTTTTTGTTTTTTTAAAGATTGTATTTATTTATTAGAGAGGAGCATGAGTGGGGGTGGGCAGAGGGAGAGGAACAAACAGACTCCCTGCTGGGCGGGGAGCCTGACTAGGGGCTGGATCCCAGGACCCTGGGCTGAAGGCAGCCCCTCAACCGACTGAGCCACCCAAGTACCCCATCACTTTTATCTTTATAGCATCATAATTGAGGACTTGCAACTCGAGGATTAGTGGGTATCTTTTCATTATGAAAACAACAGCATTTAACATAAAGGGAGTGTACAAGAACAGATTGATCCGCTAAGTGAGGAAAGTAAGTGCCAAGTGGCACAGGGCTAAAGTTTTATGACCTAGATCACCAGAGATGTAGTTCCACGGGCAGGAAAGTGCCCCTGGATTAGACTGGAGTTACTATAACCTGAGACAAATAGGGCCAGAAGTAAGAAAACAGATGTCCTCAAGCCACTCCCTACCTCATTATATTAAAAAGACCAGACGACAGTTCTAAATACTTTAGGAACGCCCCTTGACTGAATGGGGGAAGCCCCCCTTAGCAGAAGGCGTTCAGATGCGTCCCGTCCATCATCGCCCCGGCTTAATCATCACCGTATCCACATGCGAGGTTCTCGGACTCTTCCTCCACTAGGGGCCGAACCGGCTTTTCATTAGACCGTACACCCCGTGAGGCCGGGACCCTGTCTTATGCTTTCTCTCAAGTGTGCCACGGAGCAGCAACTACTCCCTGTTTTGTCCTGTTGTCCCTGGAACCTAGCGGAATCCTTCCCCTTCTCTCCCGAGTCCCTGGTCATTTAGTGCTGTTTGGACCATGAATGCTCAGTAGGCGTGTGAGGATGTGAAAACCACCTACGTTTATCTAGTTAGATGTGCAGGGAAAGAAAGGCTTGTGTTTGCTATCAGTCATAAAAGGTGTCTGCCCAGTTATGGCCACTCAGTTTGAAATTAGAAGAAGTGCATATTTACGTTTGTATGGAGAGAGAAAATTTTATGTGTGGAACTTTATAAATGTGGATTATGGGCACCCATACACACTCGTATATATAAAATATGTATATTATGAACATAATATATACATATTATGTATGTGCTACGTGACATAGCACAACTTCACACTTTCCTAAAAGCCTCTGCAGTGAGATCCAGAGAGGATGTGTGTGTGTGTGTGTGTGTGTGTGTGTGTGTGTGTGTGTGTGTACGTGTGTGTGTGCATTCATGTATTTACTTCTGATTTCTGTACTGAATGAAGGAGCCAGAGGAGACAATCTCCTAGCAACCTAACCTATGAGGATGCATCCTGAAATAAAAGAAATTTAAATTAATTGAAGGTTTGCAACAAATCTGAAAACCATATTTCTTAAAAGAAAAAAAAAATTAAGGTTAAGATCTGTATATGTGGGGGGGGGGGGGCGGGAGGGGTTGCCTCTGAGGCATGAAGGTTACGTGTCCTGTTCAGCAGCTTTGGTGACTGAGCTGAAATCGAGCCCCAGCTGGCGGTGTGGCTGCCCGGGTAGCCGTGTTAGCATTTCTTTGCTACATTTCTCTCATCCAGAAAATAGTTATTAACTCCTTAGCGCTTTGGGAGGATTATGTTAGAAAGCACGGGAAGTCCTCCCGCTCCGCCTGCCTGTGCCGTTTCTGGCACCTGGAAGCAGCTTCGTCAGGGGCAGCCTCTGTGCTGTTTCTGGCTCTTGTTCTTTTGTGTCCGCCGCTGAGCTCAGCTGGGAGAGTCCCGGGGATTCCGGGTCGGGAAGATTCTGATTCCTGCTCGCAGTGGCCAAAAGCCTCTCGTGACCAGTCGCTTTCCCCCTAAAAGTGCTCAGCGGTGTTATATGAGTTCATGCAAACTCTGAAAGGGCAATTAATCCAGGGGAAAGACAAATGAAAAACACAAGAAGTAATCTGCACATGGCGAGAATTTGAAGAAAGGAAGCCGGATCTTGACCTGGGCAAAGTGCACTCGCCATGCAATAAACAGCCAAGGAGCCAAATGTATCCCAGGGGAGAGCAAAGATTGGAAAGTCAAACCGCCTCCCCCTGATTCTGTAACTGAAGCCCCACTCCTCGGCAGAGCCCAGCATGGTCCCAACCCCAACTCTTTGGATCCCACCGCAGTGGCTTTTAGGAACGTGTGCTGTTACACTAAGTCATGCAGAACTTGCTCATAATAAAAGCACCACAGGAATAAAACCACTACCAAGGGCTAATGCAAGCCCCAAGGACAGAGATGACCAGCCAAACCTGGAATGTATTGAAAAGAAAAAAAAACGCAGGGGTTAGCCCTGAAAACCCTTCTCGCCCTGGCTGGATCAGAGCACTGGGCAAAGCAAAGACCGAGAGCTAATTTGTAAAAGGTACTCGGAGAGCTCAAAGTCATCCGAGGGTCTGGAGTTGGGAACTTTCCTACAGACAAAAGGTCAAAGCGTGTTATCTACAAGCCCAGTTTGCCTGGACTGAGAGCTCTGGGGCTTCCTACGAATTGCTCCGTGGGGATGGTTTGGGATACACAAAAACGTTTGCATAATTGTATCTGTTTTTATGATGAGCTCATCAGAATGATGAATTCTGTGTTCTCCCTAAAAAAACCCGCGTTTGTCCCTGAGTGAATGACCCACATTGTTCTTGAAGCAGCCTCATTTCTAGATGGCGGGGGAGGCTCGGTTGTCCCAGGGTCGGGACTCTCTCCCTTGGCTGTTGGGCGGAGTCTTATCTGAACATGTCCCTTCAACAGCTCACAAAGCATATGATCCTCACCTGCTGCTGACAGATGCCCCCCCCCGTCCCCCGAGGTCAGCCTTTGAAAACGCACACAGTAGATGCTGGGTAGCCGGGCCTCGATCAAGGGCCCCCGGCCAAGGGCGTCTGTCAAGGTGTCGTGCGTTCTCCCGTTCGCCGACGTGCTTGTGTTTCCCGCTAATGTGCAGGTGTCTGCCTCTGTTTCCCTTCCCCGCGTGGACTCTAACAGGCAATGTGTCCCGCCTTCTTTTCGCAGTGGTGTCGGCAAGGCCAGTGTGTGAAGTTCGGGGAGCACGGCCCCCGGCCTATCCACGGCCAGTGGTCCGCCTGGTCCAAGTGGTCAGAATGTTCGCGAACTTGTGGTGGCGGAGTCAGGTATCAGGAGCGACACTGCAATGACCCCAAGTAAGGCTCCTGAGAAAGCCCGGGTTCGTAGAAGGCCAGAATGTACCGTTTTGGTTTTGCTTTGCTTCCATGCTGGTCTTTAAGTGCAGTTTCCTTCTCCCTCGTGAATCGCAACCAAGCTGGGGTTTCACGGTTTGCAGATGAAGGCTGCGGGCACTGGGGAGGGGACAGGGGTGTGATGGCCAGAAACCCAGAGCAACAAAGGAGCTGCTGTGTGTGTGTGAATAGGACGATCAGAGACTCAAGTGATAGTCTGAGCTCCCTTCTGAGTCTAAATTCAAGCCACGTGGTCACACGATCAAATGCCTGTGTCGTTGAGAGAGAAGCTTGGCCAGTGGAATGTGCGTGTGTATGTGTGTTTGTGTGTCTGTCTGATGAACTGGAGAAAGTATGCTGATTTTTGCCTTGCAGGAATGTACGTCAACACGTGCTGACAGATCTGCCTGACTTTTTAAGAGAAACCAGAAATCCTAAAAAAAAAAAAGAGTGTGAAATTCCCTGACTGTGAAGACATTGACAACAAATTCCGTTTTCTTTAAGCAGAACACGGTGGGGGCCGATCGCAGCATCTGCCAATGGAGACTGGCCTGCAGTCGCCTGCGGGCACACTCGGGCCCCGGGTGTCCCGGGATTTTGAACCGCTCTCTGTCTTCTTTGAAAACGGAGGTGGTTTTAGGTTCCTTTTCTCTGGTCTCGTCCCCATGTGCAACCTGTGGGAGACACACACTTCCTGATTGTCACAGGGGAGTGGGGCGAGCCCAGGGTTGAGAGTGGGATCGGACTGCACATCCTGGGTCTGCCTCCTGTTGACTATGTGACTTCGGGAAATCCACTTGAACTCTGAGCTTGAGTCCGTGTGTGAGGTCGAGATAGTAATGCCTCCTCTGAAGGTTTGGGAGGGATTAGAAGTGGGCCTGTAGAGCACCCCCTTCCAGGGAGCATCCAGTGGGCAGTCAGGAAAAGGGTCTGGGGTCTGTGTGGCTTTCATCACTGTCATCCTAAACTCCAGGGGGAGTACAGGGTAGCAGAGGATGGGTCCTTGAAAGCGAGGGGCGCAGGGAGGGAGGCCTTAGTGATGAAAGTGGACTTTGGAGAATGTGGTAGAGAGAGAAGAGTGCAAGGGGTCCTCGGAAGATGAAGATTTCACTTCGTGGCACTGTTTGAGGGGTGGCTTAGTGCGAGGGGCAAAAACGCAGCCTCCTAATCCCAGAACCCTAGGTTTGCCTCCTGGCCCTGCCTCCCTCCAGCTGTGTAGCCATATGCAACTTTCCCTCCCTGCTCTAGGTTCCTCACTGGTTAAAGGGGACAAGGAGAGTGCCTACGCCAGCTGGGTTAATATTCGCAAAGCGCTTCTGCAAAGTGCCTGGCCTGTTATAAGCATCGAATGAATGTTTGGTAGATTCAGAATTAAAATAATGAAACTGGAGCAAGAGGAAAATTTAAAGGAGACCTGGCATTTCATCTGAGTTAGCAGCCTGAGCTGAATCTGGAAGGCCAGTTGGTTCCAAAATACGAGAGGGTCAGAAGACACTTGGGCTGTGGTTTGCTAGGTGCTCTTTGGGCTAGAGCAGGCTAACGGTATTTTTCAGCTTTGACACTATTGACATTTTGGGTTGGAAAATTTTTGTTATGGGGTTTGCCCAGGACACAGCAGCCCCGACCTCTCCCCACTAGATGCCTGTAGGATGACACTTCCTCCCCGATAGCCCCATGATAACCAGAAATGTCCAGAGACTATCCGATGTCCTGGAGGGGGCAAGTTCAGAGAGAGTAACTAGGTGTGATGGCAGACAGGCTTGTGATGCATTTCCAGTTTATCCCAGATTATTAAAACCACCCTCCTCGTACTTTGAATATAGCCCATATCTTGGATAGGATTCTTAAAATCATTATATTACTTTTCTTTTTTTTCAGCCTATTTCACGGATCTGGTTTTCATACCTCACAACATTTTACAGCTCCGTATTTTCCCAAGAAAGAAATAGATTACCTAATTTAATAGCTCTGCTGGTAAAGCGCGTGAATGACACCCCTGGGATTTAAATTAAAATCTCTCATATCTGTGGGGCCGAGCACTCTCATTATAATAGGGCATTGTTCACGGGAATATTGTACTGTAATTTTAGAAATGCCTCATAAAAGAATCACCAGTGTAGTTCCATTTGGTGCCGTTTTATCATTTCAACAAGCGTGAGGCTCCTCGGACACTGTTTACTTTAATTATGCCTCACAAATAAAACAAGAACATGAGCAGCCACCCCCAGGCAATTGAATTAGTTGTTCTCTGTTCTTATTTCACTTTGTTGTAGGAAAACTGAGGGTTTTTTTCCCCCGCCCTCCATTTTAAATTACTGATTTCTTCTTTGCTTCAGTTGAAACATTCAGTCCGTTCACATCACTTCACCCAACCAGCTTCATTTTCTCACGTGAGAAGCAGGGGGACCTTTTATTTCACGTTAATGCTGATTTTCCCAGAACATGTGTTGTTTCATAAAAGTGAACTCCTCCAGGCTGATTCATGGACTTACCCAGCTTTTCGGCTTCCAAAGGGATTAAAGGTTCCCTGGTTCTGGAATGACTGGTACCACACACACATGGCGCTTCTTTTTTCCCATGTCTGGTGTGGACCTTTTTGGTTTTATTTATTGATTGATTTAGAGGGAGGGAGAGCGAGTGAGCCTGCGAGTGGGAGGAGGGACAGGCAGAGAGGGAGAGCATCTGAAGCAGGCTCCAAGCTCAGCACAGAGCCTCCCATGGGGCTCGAACTCACAACCCTGAGATCATGATCTGAGCTGAAACCAAGAGTCAGACACTTAACCAACTGAGCCATCCAGGCAGCCCTGAGGTGGACATAATTTTTAATGGATAGAAGCTCTGTTTTCTCCTGAACCCTACTATGCCTCAGGCACCTGGAAACATTTCCCAGTCTACCTAGAACAGACGCAGGAGTTCCAGCCTGTTGTCCAATCCGGTTATCTGATGAGTGAGTAACCAGGGCAGGCAGAGGGTCCCAGAGCAGTGATCTTTGCCGGGGTCACCAAGCTCGTAGTGGTAGAGTCGGACCAGGAGCCAACAGTTTTCATCCTTTGACATTCTTTCTGGTTGCCTGACTAGTCAGTTATCACAGTCTAAAGGAGCCTGGTAGAATTTCTATAAAGTCTGTTCCAGAAAATTAATTGCAAAAATTAAAGTGAAAACGAAACATGCAAAGGCATTCTAGAACTTTCCTAAAATGCAAGTCTATTTGAGAAAAAAAAAAATAATATGCCACTAGAGTCCTAGCTATGGAAAAATAATTGAATTAAATCTCCAGCCCATTTTTCAACCAGTGATTTCCAGGCTCAGGTGGTTATCAAAATCACCAAGTGTGCTTTAAAAAAACACTGATTTCTGGATCCTCTTATCATATATTCTTATTAAGAAAGTCCGGAGGGACCCAGGAGTGAGTCCATCTGTCTGTCTGGCTGTCTGGTTCTGTTGATCAGCCAGCCAATACTGTAACCATTTGTAGCCAGGACGTGATAAATTACGCAGAAGTAAAAACGAATATCCTTTATATCGGTCTCATATAAGGATAAAATCATATTCCCAGACATCTGTTTTCTGACTGTTTATATTTTTGTTTTTAATCTTGTTGCACCAAAGAATGTCATGGTAGAATTTTCTGTCAATTTATCCTAATACTCCTGTTTACAGCTGCAGAAAAAAGTACGTGTATTTGAGGATTTGATGGAAAAGTACAAATTCTTGCTAGTCATTAGAACCAGAAAGCACTTTAAAGTTATGATTGATTTGTGCTAACTCTGCCCTAGATTCAGCCCTGAATTTTTTTAAAGAATGTGTCTCATTTATTTTGTGACCTTTGTTTGTTTTTGTCATTTTATTTTTTTCATGATGATCAGTGTAGTCTTTAATCCCCATCGCCTATTACCCCCTTCCCCCTACCACCTCCCCCGTGGTAATCATCAGTTTGTTCTCTAGAGTTAAGAGTCTGTTTCTTGGTTCATCTCTCTCTCTTTTTTCCCCTATGATCATTTGTTTTATTTCTTACATTCCACATATGAGTGAGATCATATTTCTCCGCATTTCTCTGACTCATTTCCTTTAGCGCAATACCCTCTAGCTCCGTCCACATCATTGAAAATGCAAGGTTTCATCCTTTCTGATGGCTGAGTAATATTCCATTGTATATATACCCCCCCCTTTATCCACTCATCTACTGATGGCCTCTGGACTGCTTCTGTACTTTCTCAGCTGTGAAATCTTTACAAACATTATCTCAGTTAATCATCATATCTGCCCCCATTTTCAGGTTAGGAGGTTAAACAAAATTGCCTAAAGATAAGCTGGGAAGAGGCAGAGAATATTTAAATCCAGATCGGTCTCATTATAAAAGGCCAACTCCCTAACGATCGTGCCTGACTGTCTTCCTCTCCCCTGCCGGCCCCTACTGCCTAACTCAGCTAAATCCAGGTGGAGTGGGGCAGGGAAAGGATCCTGGGGAGTCAAAGGTAGAGGAGCTTAGCTGTGCCCTGTGTCTTGCTAGCTATGTGACCATCATTCGGCAAGTTTTATGAGGCTTCTCACCCATCTTTCACCTCGTCTACAAAATGAAAGGGTGGTATGGAGGTTTTGAGATCGCCATGTTACGGTTTCTGAGTCGAAAAAGTAACCCATGTTGTCCTCTTTTTCTTTCTCGAAACTGAGGAGTCTAAATGAAGATTATTTATAAAATCGCAGACAGAATGTCTTAAACTAAGAAAAGTTTTAAATACGCTTTGTAAAGATGACCAGGAATAGTAAAGCTATGGTGGGGCCCTTTAAGGTTTTTCTAAGTGCTTTTCAGATAATGATTTAAGAAGTCTTCTGGGATTTGATGTAGCACAATGGCTGCTGAATGTTTAAGTAGTTGCTCCAGAGTGTTTTGAAATAGCAAAAAAAATCTTGCTCTGGCGGCGTGACACTTCCCGTTTCTGTTGAATCCATCTCAGCAAACAGTTGCATGAGGATTTGATAAAATAGGTTGAAGCAAATCCAGGGGTGTTTTATAGCATTCTTGTGCTTCCTAAAGAGACAAGGAATTTTAATCACACAAATTTATTAACCTGGAGCCTTCTTTCATGTTACATGTTTGTACTGAGCTTTTGTATGAGATGATCCATAGTTGGGTTTTAGCCTTTGGAGAAAAGCACAAAAAAAAGCAATTGCTTTGGGCCTGGAAGAAGCTGGATAAGCTTTTATTGGTCATTCTCAGTTTGGTTTATGCTCCTTTTTCCTTTAGATTGCTTTCTGGTCTTTGCAGTCTACCTACCAAGAGCTTAAAGAGCCGGCCATTAGATCATAATTATTTATGTTCTACTGGGATTCCCTATTCTGGAAATCCATTTCCCATTGTGCTTGGCAGGCGAGGAACAGGCCACCTACAAAGTTAAAAAGTGATTATGCAGATGAAAACAAGGGAATTTCTGTTCACAGTTGAGGATCGACCAGGGTGAAATATACAATAGTCAGCCAGTAATCAGAACATGGGCTCGGTGACTGGCAGAGCTGGATGGGAGGACATGGCGGATGGGGCTTCCCACTCTTTCATTTCAGTGCCCTGACCTTCTGCGTGGCAGCAGGTGGACAGCACCCTGGAGGAAGCTGGGGGTGTTTAGAAATGGGAGGAAAGCTGGGGAGTAGGTTGGGTCCACATTTGAAGAGCTGTGATACCAGGTTGGGTTGTGTGTGTGTTTAGTGTGTGTAGCACGCAGACACACATCTGTCTACATTAATGAGAACACTCGGGTGCATTTATAAATTTCCCTAACACAGGTAACACGAGGAGTGTCAAGAATGTGCTTTCATCATTCTTTAAAGAAATTGCCAAAATGTAAAACTGGCATCAGTTTTCTCTAATATGCCAGTTCCGGTTGCTGAATAGTGGTAATGCCTCCCTAAGAGCTGTATCGGGAAAAGAAAGAGCGGGTCCCTGATGGACGGGTTCTGCCTACCATGGATACAAGGAAGGACACGGCATATTGTGTCCTCCATTATTTCCTTTCCTGTAATAGACTGTATACATGCAGTGTATACAGGTGGTCACCTTGACTATATACAATGGTCACCTTGACTGTCCCTCCTTACATTATTGTTTGTGACTCATAGCCCGCTGTTTGCTTGCATTAAAGCCCTTTCATTTTATTTTTAGGCCTCAGTATGGTGGCAAGTTCTGTCCAGGGTCTAGCCGTATGTATCAGCTGTGCCATATTAACCCTTGTAATGAAAATAGCTTGGATTTCCGAGCCCAGCAGTGTGCAGAGCACAACAGCAAACCTTTCCGTGGATGGTTCTACCAGTGGAAACCCTATACGAAAGTGGAAGGTAATTTGGTCTCTGTACCTCCAACAAATAGGGCTCTACGGGGACAGTAACGGGGATGAACACACGGGGAAATTGCTGCGTACATAAGAGTTTTGGTGTTGACGTCATCCCCTAGACCCGTCCTGACCCAGTTTTGCATTCACTTCCATAGGTTTTGTTTATTTTTCCATACTTTTTTTTTTCACAAGATAACCCTTTTCCCCCACATCTGTAAGCCAAAGGGTTCCTGTGTTTGGAATGTACTTATGTTTCTAAACTTACCTTTGACATTCTGGCAATTAAGTCTCCCAGGGTTGTTAATTGCAATTGGTATGAATTGTCCAGACCAAAAACCTGTGAAACCATATATGCCCCATAGAGAAGCCATATTCAGCAATTGACAAGTAGATGATTGCCCACACGGAAGGCCTGTTTGCAGGGTATTACACACCCACGCACGCGCGTGTGCGCGCGCGCACACACACACGCACACACACACACACGCACACAGCCAAGAATTTAAAAATGTCTCCATACTGGGTTCCTAGTGCTTATTATTACTTAAAGTTGTGACTTATATTTTACCTTTTAAATTGAATTGTTTTTGTTTTACCAAAGTATCAAAGCATTTATTTTAGTTGCAATGTACACATTTAATGTGCTTCCCATTACCTTCGCAGACAAAGCTGTCACCGTTCTGATTGTTTGCCTTCTATTATTGCCATTCCCTTGCTTTATCAAAACTCAGCCTTCCTTGCTTGAGAAAGGATAAGTAAGAACCCCTAGGGGACACAGGTAGAATGGGAAGACACGGAATGTAGTGGGGGAGATAAGACTAGGGCCATCGCTGGGCAAAAATCTCAAAATGAACGCATGTTGTCGATCACCATAGAGAAGCCAGTGGAGTTAGGGGCATAACAAGGGGGATGATAGTGCCGCTCGGCCCAGGACCAGCCCAGCCATCGCAGGAGCACTGTGTGGTTCTGGGTCATCAGTGGGCATCTGAAAGCACAAGAGGGACAAGCATGAAAATTCAGCAACCGCAGTGAGCAGTCTGTAAGTGTCTACTTTTAGGTGCGTCTTTCTTCAAGTAGAAGCTCAGCCCTTTATTGTTATTTCCAGTGTTTCGAGTTGCAGTAAGAGAGAATATGTACAGGGTTTGTTTATGAGTTTTCAGCCATTTTTAAAAGTAATACTCCATGGTACGCCTCTTTCTTGCTTGATGGAACAAACGTGTGCTTGCGAACTTAGCTTGTCTGTCATTTCTCTCGGACCTCAATGACAAAGCTGCGAAGACATGCATTTCAAAAAAAAAAATTCTTCAGTAGACTCATATGGAAACTTGCCAAGAAAAAGAGAGAAGAAAACAGGTACCTGCAAATATCCAGAGGTAGTAAACTAGAGAAGGATTTAGAGTAATTGGAAATCACTTCAGAGGACAGACAGGGTTAATTCAAGGGCTAAGACCTTCCCCGCCATGACACCTCCTCAGGGAGGCCTCCCTTGCTAGTTTGCTCAGAATATCCTTCCTTCAGGTATTCCTCCCGTTCCTAAACTGCTCTATTCTTTGTAGCTCTTACCCATGCCTGAGTTTACATCCCATCGTTGCTATTCATTATCTCGCTCCCCATAAGAATTCACGTTCCACGGGATAAAGCCTTCGTCCATTTTGAGCATGCTTGGGCCTCCAGCATCTGAGAACAGCCCTTGGCACGTATTTGTAATTTTCAGAATGAATGAGTGAATAAACAAGCATCAACTGTCCCTAATGGAGGTGTTTCCCGTCTCTGAGTGGCCGGCTCTCCATCACTGGAGGCATTCTATCAGGAACCGTGCGCTGATCTAGGCAGGGCACTGCACAAACAGGTGCCCAGGGACCGTTAGATAGAACACCTGCAGTTGCTTTCATTTCCAGCATTTGAAGATTTCTTGTCTCTTGGTAGAACACGCCCGTCATTCCGTGATTCTTACAGATGTGTGGCTCTTTCCCCCAGACCCTGCTGTCCTTCCTTTTCACTTCCCCTTCTGCTCTCTGCTCTGTTTTCTTGGGTATCCCTTGGTCTTTCCCACATTCATCGCGTCTTTCATTCAAATGCTGTGTTTACACAATGTGTTTTTTGTTAGCACCCTTTAAATAGGTTCTGTGTTCACGACACGAGACAGTGAAGCACATACATTTTGTAACATGTAAAATATTTTTTGGTTTCAAAAGTTTTTCACTAATTTAATGGCAGCCTGACTGAGTAGGGAGCATGCCACTTCATTCAATTGCTCAACGGAGGTTTACTGAGCACTTCTCCCATGGGAGACATTCTGCTAGATGCGGGGGGAACTACACCAAGGAGAAGAGACCCAGCCCAGGGAGACAGAAAAATTAAGGCCTTTTGTTTCTCCCTCTTCTCCTTCTGATATGAACTTAGGATAAGGAAACATTGACCATGGCTTGAAGGTCTGGTGGCATTCATGCAGGTTGGGAAGAATGAGGGAAGACCATTTATAAATTAGACAGTCTTTGTCTTACAGTAGTGAGGTTTTTGTGTTTCCAATAGACCAGTTGAGAAACTTGCCCCAGAGCCTCTGTGGGTAAAACTGAACTTTTTAGAACTTGTTCATTCCTGGGCATGACCGAGAAAAAGAAAGGGCATCGATAACGTCTTCCGTAACCTCTGATGCAAAAATTACGAGGTGTTTAATAAAGCTATTCAAAGAGATTTCTAGGTAAAGGAGAAACTTTCACTCTATCGACCCATCTGCATATTTGGATCACGATAATCTAACTACTTTCACATTTAAGTTTTGACTTTGTCTTTTATCGAGAGGTTTATGAAGCCCAGCGGTTTGCAGACTGTTTACACGTTCGTTGTACAAATGTTGTCAGGGCTGTTGTGTGGTGTCGCCCACGGACGGTCTCTTGGGAGAAATGTCCTCTGGAGCTGCTGGCCAAGAAGAACGCTTTGTATTTAGGAAATTGGCATAACTCCTTTCTGATACAAGCGCTCTGTAGAAATACTGCATTTTTTTTCTTTTTGCCTGTGATACCAGAGACTTCTCAGGGACTTTATAGTCAATAAAAGTTACATTTTTTAGCCTTTAGGTTTAGTTTATTTGGGTCCTCTTCCTTTTCATGATAGGATTATTCTCTGTATGTTTTATAAACATAAACCATATGGCCCTTTTTTTCCCCCAAAGGACCTAAAATTTTTTCTCTTAACTGCCTGAATAGATTTTGAAGTAATCCATGTCCCTAATCACGGTCAACAAATTATCGCCTGTGGGCCAAATCTGACCGGTTTTTGTTTGTTTAAAAATAAAGTTTTATTGGAACACGAAACACTCCTTCCTTTACATACTGTCAACAGCAGACCATAAGTCCTATGAAGCCTGAAATATTTGCTAACGAAGGAGAGTAGCTGTATAACCCACCAATTATGTGTATTGTGGCTATTACGAAGCGTTAGAAAAATACAATTTTGTGTGTCAAAACAGTTTTATCTAAATCGCAAACAGGATTCCTGCTTTTAAAAGCACATATATGTACATTTGTACATGCACACCCACACCCACATACAAAACTAGTAACATTTCCCATTTTAGTCATGATCGCTTTCTTTTTTTTTTCTAATTTTTTTTTAAATTTATTTATTTGACAGACAGAGATCACAAGTGGGCAGAGAGACAGGCAGAGAGAGAGGAAGGGAAGCAGGCTCCCGGCCAAGCAGAGAGCCCGATGTAGGGCTCGATCCCCGGACCCTGGGATCATGACCTGAGCTGAAGGCAGAGGCTTAACCCACTGAGCCACCCAGGCGCCCCTCATGATCGCTTTCTAAAGAAATTTAATTCATCCTTCTGCCATCATGTCATTGCCCTGTGATTTCCTCCTGATCACGTCCTGTCTTGATCTCTTTGCTTCTAGAGGCAGATCGATGTAAACTGTACTGCAAGGCGGAGAACTTCGAATTTTTTTTTGCGATGTCTGGCAAGGTGAAAGACGGAACTCCTTGCTCCCCAAACAAACAGGATGTTTGTATCGATGGGATTTGTGAAGTAAGAGGACCTTTGTTTTCTGGGCTGTGTCATCACGCTTGTGTTTCCTCCTACCAAACGTGTACCGTGAGAAGTGGCACAAGAGATTCTGTGTCTGGAGAAAAGGCAGCTTAGGGGAAAAGGCCAGTGTTTGCAAACTGGATGCGTAGACTGTCTCTAACGTCCCCACTGTCGCTCTGCAGGACCATCTGACATTCTTAGCTCCTCTTCCCCCGTCTCCGCAAGTATGCAATGGAGAGGATGACGTATTTATTACTCCACGCAGTAGTTGCAAAAATTAAATAAGAATGTAAAGGAGAGCAGTGAACTTCCACTGCATGTTTGCTAAGTGTGTTCACTGTGTGGTCAGAGCCTCACAGACGTGTTTTGACATAGGACTACTATTTCCTGCCAATTGGTCTTCCTTTTAATTCCATTGTGTGTGTGGTGAGGGTGGAGGGATTATGTGGGGGGCTCAGCATTTTATGTTTCAGCAGGAGAGCTGGCCCAAATCAGCTCACCTGCCACTAGTAGCAGCAGTGACTTGGGGTTCCAGTTTTCCCGATGAGGAGTCCCAGCAAACTTTTGATGCATTCTGCAACTGCCCTAGTCCCGCATCTGGTAAAGGCAGAGGAGTGATTTGAACCCCCAGACTTGAGGCTCTGCTTTTAACCCTAAAGCTGTACTATCTTTCTAATGTTCTGAAGGTAGAGCCCCCATTATCTCTTGGTTATTCGTAGCCATTGGCTTTTCTGATTTTTCTCACTTTGTTGTTGTTGTTATTTTATTTTATTTATTTTATTTTGTTTTTTGTCACAGCCAGTGGGATGCGATCATGAACTTGGCTCTAAAGCAGTTTTGGATGCATGTGGTGTTTGCAAAGGGGATAATTCGACTTGCAAGTTTTACAAAGGCCTGTACCTCAATCAGCATAAAGCCAACGGTAAGAGATGCCTGTGGTTTCATCACTGTGGCTTTGCCACTGAGCAAGTTCCCGTCAACGCTGGCCATGACCGAGCTGTTTCCCAGCTCCCCTGACACACACAGGACAATGGCTTTGATACCTCCCAAGAACAAGGAGGATGGGTTCTCAGTGTGAGGAGTTCCGTCAACACGCACAACTCTGAGATGTGTCGATCAAATGCCCTTTACTTTGCCGTGTGTCTAATGTCCCACAGGCCTTTGGTAAACACAGAACGGATTTTTTTTTTTTAAAGATTTTATTTATTTGACAGACAGAGATCACAAGTAGGTAGAGAGGCAGGCAGAGAGAGAGGGGGAAGCAGGCTCCCTGCTGTGAGCAGAGAGCCCGATGTGGGGCTGGATCCCAGGACCCTGGGATCATGACCTGAGCTGAAGGCAGAGGCTTTAACCCACTGAGCCACCCAGGCGCCCCACACGGAACGGATTTTGAAACTTACAGTTCAAGATGTGAATCATGATCCCCACTCACGACATCAGATGACTATTGGAAGCAATGATCTAAACGAATCTTGAGTAAAATGAAACCTGGAGCCCTGTTGCCCAAGTATCACTACTGAGGTCATGGCGCTAAGTTTCTTCCGAGTAGATTAAAGATAAAAAGGGTTCTTGAGTTTCGTGGCCTTGGTTGTTCTGGAAGGAGGAAGTGTGTACCTCTTGTCCACACACACGTGCTTGGGAAAGGAGCACACACTTTCTTTCTGGTGTTCCTTCCTCCTGAAAAATGAAAAAAATTATTTATCTGTACTCCGTAGAGTAGGAATGAATGTCCGTTCATGATTCAACAACTCTGTTCTGTAAAAGTGGACATCGCTGTTTCTCTGCACATTTTCAGCCCCATTTCTGCAGTGTGCATCATGGAAAACAGCACTGTTCTGTTCTTCCCATTTAGCATATTATCCAGTCGTCACCATCCCAGTGGGGGCCCGAAGCATCGAGGTCCAGGAGCTGCAGCTCTCTTCCAGTCACCTTGCAGTCAGAAGCCTGGGTCAGAAGTACTACCTCACGGGGGGCTGGAACATCGACTGGCCCGGAGAGTTCCCCTTTGCTGGGACCGTGTTTGAATACCAGCGGACCTTCAACCACCCAGAACGCCTGTATGCGCCAGGACCCACCAACGAGACGCTGGTCTTTGAAGTAAGCCCCTTCTGTTCGTTTAGCGCTCTACACCTCCTGCTACGTTTACAGTGATGGCCCCCCTTCGAGCTAGCTTGGAGAACGCCTCTCCCTTTAGCTCAGATTTGTTTCCTAATAAGCTAAGTTGCAAAGTGCAAAGAGGAAGAGACAGGATCCCCATTCTGGGGAAGACAGCAGGAGGCCAGTGGATCTCAGAGAATGCACAGATTTTCAGACCTACATGCCTACCACTCAGCCTTGCCCTTGACTGCCGTGAATGCTAAGGAACGCAGTAGGAATGCTTTTTAGGTAATTCCATATTGTCCGCGTCTGCCATTCGGATAGCCCATTGGAGTTACTCAGCACACCGGTCGCCTGGCCTGGGACCAGTAGAATGATAGAGTAGAAAGAACACTTGCTTGAATGCCAAGAAAGTTGTTTTTTTTTTTTTTTTTTTTTTTAAGATTGTATTTATTTATTTGACAGAGAGCTCACAACTAGGTAGAGAGGCAGGCAGAGAGAGAGGAGGAAGCAGGCTCCCTATGGAGCAGAGAGCCCGATGTGGGGCTCGATCCTAGGACCCTGATAGCATGACCTGAGCCAAAGGCAGAGGCTTTAACCCACTGAGCCACCCAGGCGCCCCTGCCAAGAAAGTTTTAATCAGAGCAAATCACCTTCCTTGTGTGGGTTGGGTTCTTGTTTCCTTCAAGATAGGAGAAGAAAAATGAGTGGGTCCTGGTGTGCCAGTTGTCTGCTGGTGACTCTGCGGACAAGCATCTCACGTTCATTTTCCTCATCTGCGTCGGTGTCTCTGAGGTTGCGTTTTCTGTGCGCAAAGTGGGGCCGATCGCTGCTCCCAGAGGCAGTTCCGTTTGCCTCAGGTGGTGTGGGAGCCGTGCTCGCGAGGGCCGAGGTTACCAGACACTCCAGATCATCTTCCTGTGTTTCAGTTTCTCACCTAGAAATTGGGAGAGAAAACTTGCCTCGTCAACTCGCTAGAAAAATAAGCAGTGAAGTGGGAGACGGGTGAAGAGGCTTGCCTAACACACAGCTAGGGAAAAAGCAGAACTGAGCTGGAGTCCGAGTGTTTTCCATCTACGAGTATTTATTTATTTATTTTTTTAGATAGTGAGTGTATGAATGCGGGGGAGGGGCAGAGGGAGAGGGAGAGAGTCTCAAGCAGACTCCATGTCCCGAGATCAGGACCTGAGCTGAAATCAGGAGTCAGACGTTTCCCCGACTGAGCCACCCCAGCACCCCTCCCTCCATCTATAAGTATGATGTCTACACTCCAGTCATGCCGCTCTCTTCTCAAATAAAGGAAACTTCGGCTTAATTTAACTAGTAGTATTTAATGCACTGCCTTTAAACATTTACTAAGAAAGACAAGTAGAAGACCGTTGAGGAAAAAAACATGTCTCTTTGGATTCTAAGTCAGATGTTGTATACCTAGTATGGTTAAAAGGAACAATCTTTTTTTTTTTTTTTTAAGATTTTATTTATTTACTTGACAGAGTGAGCGAACACAAGTAGGCAGAGCGGCAGGCAGAGGCAGAGGGAGAAACAGGCTCCCCGCTGAGTAGGGAGCCCAAGGCAGGGCTTCATCCCAGGACCCTGGAATTATGACCTGAGCCAAAGGCAGACACTTAACTGACTGAGCCACCCAGGAGCCCCAAGAGGACAGATTCTCAACTAACTATGTAACTTGAACAAGTTATCGGGTTAGGATTCTTAACATCCTTGTCCCTTCATGTCCATATTTATAAAATGGGTGGACAATACTAGCTAAGTGTTAGGGTTATTATAAGGATACTTGAAGACAAGTTCAGTGCTTACAAAGACCTTGTCACATAATGGTATAACCACTCATCACTTTGCATTCTGAACTTCTCACATATGTATTTTTTTGAAGTCTAGATCTCAAGGGGGTGCCTGGGTGGCTTAGTTGGTTAAGCATCTGACTCTTGATCTCAGCTCAGGTTTTGATCTCAGGGTCATGAGTTCAAGCCCTGCACTGGGCTCCATGCTGGGTGTAGAGTCTGCTTAAAATAAATAAATACATAAACAAACTGGTAAAAATCGAAATCTCGGACCATGGCTAGCAAACTCATGACTACCAGCCACATCCAGCTCCCACATCTGTGAAATACTGAAACAAAAATGGATAGATGCTTTAATATCAGGTGATTTCTTACAAAAATCAAGATTTGAACATCTCCTAACAGCAGGGAACTTCTGGTCCCAGTAGCTACTTGAGTTTGCAACCTTGGTTCTAGATGGTGACTATGACTTAATTCATTTAAATTCCTATTATTTTGTCACTTGAGATATTAGGTCCTGTCACCTCTGTCTGTGTGGTGGGACATCCCTCAGAGACCTCCCACCACTTACTTGAAGAGAAGCTGCATACAGTTAGAAAAAAGTCTCCCAATCCTCTCAACTCTTCCATTTCAGAGATGAGAGCAGGAACTCCAAATCAAACTGGACTAAAGGGGTCCTAGGACAGCTCAGTAGGTTAAGAGTCTGCCTTTGCCTCAGGTCATGATCTGTGGTCCTCCTTGGGTTTCTACTTCCTGCTCAGCAGGGAGTCCGCTTCTTCCTCTCTCTCAGCCTCCTCCCCGCTGCTCATGCTCTGTTTCTCTCTCTCTCTCTCTCAAATAAATTAATAAAATCTTCAAAAAAAAAAAACCTGGACTAAGGGTGGTTGGAAGCTCAGCAGTGGGTTGAACCGCTGGAATTAAACTTTCATTAAACCTAACGCACAGAAATGGAATTCTGATTCAAGATTTCTGGATATTTTTTCAAAACTTTTTTTTTCTAAAGTTCTTTTTTTTTTCTATCAAGTATTTGAGCAGGAAACGTCTCTTCCTTCTCTGCAGGAAGGTTGTATTTTCTTTCGAGAGGTGTATTTAGCTTGCAAGGTATTCGTTTTAGAGCAACAACGCTTCATTAGTTTTGCCAAGAGGCCTTTGATCCATCTATGAGCAAATGTACACAAATCAAGGTCTGTGGCTGCAAAAGGACCTAAAGTCAGGAAGTGGGGTGAGATGCCCCTCACGGCGCCTGCCGTAGCGATCAGAACAAAGTGCAAATCACTCCCGGGGAGAAAGACATGTTTTACTATTTCATGACAAGCAACCATTTTTGGTCATTGTTTCTCTCTCCAGTCTTGTTCATAAACACAAAGCTTCTCGAGGAGGTTTTCACAATCCTGCCTGTAATTTAAGGTTTGCCATTAAACATATATTATCTGCAGGAAAACCACAACAAAGAATAAGACAAGAAATAAAGGAACAAGCAAAGCAGAATAACAGAGTTCCCTCTTGCTTTCATCTTTGGGACCTGAAATAATATCCCCTGGCTTTGTCTGCAGTGATGAAATTAACCAGATAATTGACATATTGTCACTGAACATTGTACCAGCCTGGGGCTAAGGATTTTTGTTTATGCTTTGCTTAATTTAAACAACTGCTTATCTCATTCATCCATATTATGTTGCCCTGACCCACAATCTTTGGCATGTTTATCAGGTCTTTAATTTTTCCTGATGGAGCGATTTTTGAGAAAGGGAAGGAGGACCTCAATTGGTGATGGAGTTCTCCAAAATTGGCCAGGTCTGTCACCTCTCTCCTTGCAAAGACAGACACCTCCTTGAAAATAGGTCAAAATAGGGGCACCTGGGTGGCTCAGTGGGTTAAAGCCTCTGCCTTCAGGCTCAGGTCATGATCTCCGGGTCCTGGGATCGAGCCCCTCATCGGGCTCTCTACTCAGCGGGGAGCCTGCTTCCTCCTCTCTCTGCCTGCCTCTCTGCCTACTTGTGATCTCTGTCTGTCAAATAAATAAAATCTTTTAAAAAAATAGGTCAAAATATAAGGAGAAATACTGGCTAACTCTAACTAAAATTATAAAAATGTAAAGTCTTTCCTAGGTCCAACCACATATGTATTATTTTAAATAATTCTTTACTATTACAGGGATAGAATAAGAGCAATAATATCTATTAATACAAGGCTATAGTTTTGCCACAAAGGATTAAGGTCACATTTGCTAGCTATTGTTATACAGAATCTTGTTTTATGGACTCATTCTACTTACAGACGGGAAGAAAGCTTAAATTAACATCTTAGGAATGTGACCTGTCTGAAAATAATCTAGAGGGAAACTTGTATGATTAATTGGACATGCCTTGCTTGTATTTTTAAAGGAGTTATGGTTTCATTCAAAAGTTGCAACTATGTTAGCAGAAAAAGAGAAAATCAAATCTAGTAACCTAGTATTATGTCTATTTTATCTTTTAAAAGAATTTAGGTTAATGACTTTAATATTTAAATTATACTTTATTGCACTCAGGGGGACATCGTCAAATTTCTGGTCAATTTTTATCACATATTCATACCTTTCCAAACTCAGTAGAACACAGTGATTTTTTAAACTTAAAATCACAATAAGCAATAACTTACATTTTCCAAAATGAAACTATATATCTGTATCCAAGTAATCCATGACTATATTCTTTAAAGGAAGTTAAATAAAGTTCACGTGCCTTTCCGTACAGCTATGGATTGAACCAAAATGAATACTTTGGGAGCCAAAAATATGTTCACTCCAATATAAAAATGTTGAATGTGTTTTAACAGCCCTGTGGGATGTTGGAATCAAAGTGTGGGAACCTACCAAAATGAAAAATGCTATTCCATCCACAGAAAGTATAAGTCTATGAAAAAAAGCACTTTCTCTCTTGGCCTCTTAAAATTACTGAATGTTCACTAGGTTCTTACTATAGTATAAAATTTAGCAGAAGGGTATGTTTGTCAAAATACGTGGGGATGGCACTGGGGGGGAGGGATGGATAATGTTTCTCTCCTTCATATGTCTCAATCAGATCTTCCCAGTATCTTAGCTAGCTCCCATCTTCAACCACCCTGGTGTGTGTTGAGCTAGATACCTACCTTCAGAGCAGTTTTCCTTTCTTTGCTTCCATGTCTGATAAAAGGAAAATTAAGCCAACATTCATTGGGTGC